GCTTGCGGTTTTGTTGTTGTTCTGTATTTTTTCTACTTTTGTTGTGCATTGCTGGGGGTTGAACCCAGGGCCTTGCACAAGCTAAGCAAACACTCTGCCACTGAGCTATATCCCCAGCCCTTTTAATTTTATTTTGAGACAGGCCTTGAATTTGTGCTCCTCCTGCCCCAGCCTCCTGAGTAGCAGCATCCCTTTCTCCCCTCCTTTGGGCAGAGCCTAACACAGAGGCAACTGGCAAAGCACAGAGCCTAGCAAGTGAGCTTAGAGCTGAAAAAACAGTAACTGGCACAAGGGCTTAACATACACAACACAGTGACCCCGCAGGCAAACAGGAACCTTCAGGGATACACCACCCCTCCTCCACTCACCCAGAAATGAGAGCAGTATCTTAAAAGCCAATGGGCCAAATGGCCAAGCATTCATCACATGGACTTTTCTATTGATATTTCCTTTGCTGAGTCTGGCACAGTGGCTCCCAAACTTAGTATCTAAGAATTGCTGCATGTTCTGCATAATAGTTGGTTAAGAGTTTTCTAATTCGATTTTTTTTTTTTTTTATTGTTTGCTTCTTTTGTTTTTGGTGATACTGGGGATTGAGCCCAGGGGCATTCTATCACTAAGTTACATCCTCAGCCCTTTTTAAATTTTATTTTGAGACAGGGTCTCACTAGGTTGCTGAAGTTGGTCTCCAACTTACAATCTGCCTGTCTCAACCTCCTGAGTAGTTGGGAACTCAGGCGTGTGCCACCATGCCCCTCTCTAATTTGATTTTAACTATACACCACTTTGACACACTAACTTTAGACCCTCAACACCACAATATTCACCAAAGTCAAGCAATGGAAAAAACACACGTGCAGTTGGGTATGGATTCATTTACATCCTGGTGCCTCTATTTACCAGCCAGGTAACCTTGGGGGCACTAGTTAATATTCTGAACTACAGTTTCAGTTCATGGGGATTGAATGTGGAAGCCAGAGAGGATGTTATTGCTGTTGTACTGGTGAACCCTCGGACTTCACATCACACACTGAACCCAGGCAAAATTGTTCCTCTGTGGTTCCTTGAAGAGGGGGCTATCTGAGGACTGTAGGGTGAGCAGCAGGTCCAAATATCAACAGTTTCCGTGGAGTTCTGAGAAGTGAGTATGGAATTGAGAGTGTGAGATCCTGGGGTCTAAAGGACAGTCAACAGCAAATGCTGCCAGGATGTGGGGCTATCAGAAGCCTCTCGTGGCTGGAAGGAATGGAAAATGGTGCCACTACTTTGGGAAGCAGACTGGCAGTTTTGGGTTTTCTTGGTTTTGGTACTAGGGATTGAATTCAGGGGCACTCGACCACTGAGCCACATCCCCAGCCCTATTATGTATTTTATTTAGAGGCAGGGTCTCACTGAGTTGCTTAGCACCCCGCCATTGCTGAGGTTGGCTTTGAACCCACAGTCCTCCTGTCTCAGCCTCTCAAGCGGCTGGAATTACAGGCATGCACCACTACGCCTGGCTCAGACTGGCAGTTTTTCAAAATATTGAATACTAAACCCAATAAATGAAATATGGAAATATGAACTAAGTAAATACATAAATATACAAGAACACAAGAAGAGGGAATTTCACTGGACCTTGAACTACAAGGCATCTGAGGAACGGAACCTGCAAGGGATGCCGAAAAGAATGCACGATTAGATTGAAAAAAAGATTGTGGACTGGGATGCACAGGAGAGCCAAGAACAGGGTCCTGCTAAGGGCAGTGGGAGCAGCCAAAGGGTGCTTCCTACCCAATGGGTGTGTGGAGATGTAGGAGGGATCTAGGGTTGACTGCTAGGGAAATTACTTGGAGCACTGACGCAGCAGCAGGCAGTACATGGTCCCCCATGGACACCCCATTGTGACCCTGAGCAAGAGTGATGGGGTTGTCAGTTCTCATAGCAAAGAATGTGGGAGGCACAGGGCAGTACCTGAGGTGACTGAGACCACCCAGGAGAAACTAGAGAACCTAAGCCCAAGAACCCAACTGCTAAGATGCCTACCTGGTAGCAGGTCTTGCCTATCCCCCATTGCCTCTGAAAATAGCAGGGAACATAATTCTTTCCTCTTCCCTCAAGCATGCTCTGCAAACAAGGAAGGCCAACCATAAAGATGACTTTGCACAAGGATCACTAAACCATGGGAAAAAACCAAGCCCATCATCAGGCTGGGGTTGTGGCTCAGTGGTGCTCACCTAGCATGCATGAGGCACTGGGTTCCATCCTCAGCACCACATAAATATAAAATAAAGATATTGTGCCCACCTAAAACTAAAAAAAAAAAATTTAAAAGGCCATCAAAAGGAAATCTTCCAAAGATGGAACATTATACTTGGGAGAAATCACAGACTTTATCACAAAAGCTAGCAAGCTGTTTAGGAATCCTGCTTTGCTTTCTCCTCAGAAATAGCCAGCAAGGACTTTCTCCATAGGCAAAGAGTTAGGTAAGACCACCTGAGTGCGTTCCAGCCAGTAGAATATACAAAACATGGTACATACCCCTCCAGCCAGGTAGGTCTGTAAAAGGCCCCCACCCCCGCTTCCATCTGCTGGATGCCGATATCCAGACAATACTAGAAGTGACATGGTTAAAGAGAGAGGATCATCTGTCACTTTCTGTCAATCAGGTCCCTACATGGCTGTGCAAAGCACACTACCTTTCCATTGGTCTTTTCAGGAATGAGAAGCCTTTTTATCATGTTGGTCCACTGCCTTTGGAGCAGTTTATTGGTTTTTAGTAGCTAATGTTAACTTCATGAATATAAAGTTCACATCTTTAAATAAATCATTTCCTTAGAGATATAGGGAATATATCACATCCATGAAATATAAAGTTAGTATGGAATGGAACCAACTATAAGAACCCATGGAAATTCAAAACTCAGTAGATGAGATGAATAGGAGAATACATCAAGTAAATGAAAAACAGTAAACCAGGAGATTAGGCTGAAGGATATTCCCAGAATGTAGGACAAGGGAAAGGGGAGGAAAGAAGAGTGAATTCCCAACTTTCATTAAAAGAATCCCAGAAGTTGCTACTAGAGAATAGATAAGAAATGATGTTTCTTTGAAAAACTAGTAAGGAATTTCTCAGCTCCAAAGACAGACACACACACACACACACACTGAATATCCAGGAAAAGATAATGGGATATGAGAAGTGATAATAAGTTAGCAGTGAGAAGCGACAGTAAAACATACTAAACATCTAATTATTGCTCATTACATTAAGCAATAACATTAAGGGTTGGGAATATAGCACAGTTGGTAGAGTGCTGGCCTAGCATGCACAAAGCCCTGGGTTCAATCCCCAGCATCACACACTCAAAAAATTGTCAATATTAGCAGGGCATGGAGGCACATGCCTGTAATCCAAGCGCCTTGGGAGGCTGAGACAGGAGGATTGAGAGTTCAAAGCCAGCCTCAATAAAAGTAAGGCACTATACAACTCAGTGAGACCCTCTAAATAAAATACAAAAGAAGGCTGGGGATGTGGCTCAGTGGCCAATTGCCCCTGAGTTCAATCCCTGGTACAACACCCCCACCCCCACCCCCCAAAAAAAGTCAACATTAATCCAAATAGTATGGCATAGAAGTTGCCAGTAGGAAATTCTAGATGGAAGTTAAAGCTGTCTCAGACTCCTTGGTTCTTGCCTTGTTCAGATGGATTCTGATTAACGACATATCTTATTAGAAATTCACAAACTTAAATACATGCATTTATTTAAAGAATAACTAATAGACACATAAGATAGAATATGGAGTTAAAAGGAGGGAAAAGCCAGGTATTGTGGACCTGTAGCTGACCCCCAAGCCCAGTTACAGCCAGGGATTTTGCAGGAGGCTGATTCCACCTTCAGCTTCAAGTCTAAACCCAAATTTGATTAATCCAAGCAGTATCCCATTCCCTTTCCCCAAAAATTATTTCAAGTATGGGCTTTTGAGCCTATTAAGGCCAGTAAATATGTCTGATTTTCATCTGGTGGCAGTTTTGACCCCCAAGGACATTTGGCAAAGCTTGGAGGCATTTTGGGTTGTCTCAACCCTAAGGCAGCTGCTGGCATCTAGTAGGAGGAGGTCAGAGAGGCTGCTAAACACTGGTCAATGCACAATTCAACCCCCACAACAAAGAATTACCCAGCCCAAAATGTGGATAAGCTGTGGGTAACCGACTTGCTCTCCTGCAGAGGGTGTGAATAGGAAGTTTCCAACTTGGACAGCCATCACTGGTGGTATCCACCTTGGGATGAAGCTGATACTGCAGAGAGCAGCCAGCAGGGTTGGAAAGTACCAGGGTGTGTGATGCTGCTGCTAAGCCCCAGCCTGTTCTTCCTCTGGGTGCCCAGGGATGTGAGACTTCCAGTGCGCTGTCAGTTAAGCCGCTGTTTTACTGGCGTCTCTGCTACTTGCAGCTATGAGCATTTTGATAGATTAAGAAAGAGAGAAAAGAAGAAGAAACAAGAAGGGGTGGGTGGAAAACCACCCAAAACTCCATCTCCTAATCTCTAGAATCCGTGAATAGGTCCCCTCATGTGTCAAAGAGGAATTTTGCAAATGTGATTAAAATAAGGAGCTGGAGAAGTTGTCTGAGTTATCTGGGTGGGTTCAGTGAAACCTCCAGGATTCTATGAGGAAAAGAGGGAGGCAGAAGGGCAGGCAAGCAGAGGAAGGGCCCAAGCTAAGGAATGCAGGTGACTTCCAGAAGGTAGAAAAGACAAGGGAACAGATTATTTTTCCCCCCAGAGCCTCCAGAAATAATGCAGCTCTAACATACCTAAATTTTAGCCTGCAAGACCCACTCAGACTACTGATTTCCGGAGCAGTAAGACAATAGTTGGTATTATTTTAAACCATTAAATTTGTGGTAATTTACTATAGTAATGATCCAAAATGAACACAGCATGGTAACTAGAAAACACAAGATATCGGAATGAACACCATTAACTAAAATTTGTGTGAGGCTGTGGATTTGGGCTGGATACCTGCACTGGGCCCAACAGACCAAGTCAATGTGGAGTTTAATGGTGGAACCTGAGCTTTGGTTGGTTAAATGCTAACCAATTGACTTACTGATTGACTAAGCTATAGCCAACTATTTTCTATGCACCACTTCCATTGTTCTGTAATGACCCTCAGATGCCATTGTTGGACTTCTGAGAATCCACTCTGGTTCTTGGAGCTGCTTAATTCATGAGTCATTTAATTTTGTTTTTACTTTTGTTTTTGCTCAGATAAACTCTATTTGACATAAATGGCCTAAGGAATCGTCCCACCCACTTTGTGGGGGATTGAACCCAGGGGCACTTTATCACTGAGCTACATCCCCAGCCATTTTTAATTTATTTTGAGACAGGGTCTTGCTAAATTGCACAAGCTAGCAACAAACTTCAGATCCTCCTGTCTTAACCTCCCAAGTAGCTGGGATTACAGGTGTGCACCACTTTTACTAGCTCAGGAATTTTTTCTTTTAATGGTACAAGCATTTTGATAATTAAATATGAAAAGATTGAATCCAACTCCTAAATAACACATCCTTATCAGACTGGATTTTTTAAACACTCCAGCAATGTGCCATTCATGAGAAGTATACCTAAAAACAAAAAGGTTACAGGGAAACAGATACCTGTTGTTTCAGTTAACTATTACGGTGCTAAACCACCAACCCCCAATTTAAAGACTTACAATAACAACGATTTCATCTGCTCATGATCTGCAGGTCAGTAATTTACCTGCATTCCGCTGGGCAGGCCCGCCAGGTTCCGCTGAGTTCGCTCATGGCTGCAGTCATCTAAGATGGCCTTATACAGTTGGCACTTGCTCTCAGCCGCCTTCTCTCCAAGTCCTCCCAGAGGCTAGCCCTGGCTTCTGCACATGGGGGCAGCAGCACACCAGGTGATGAGCTCTGAGTTGTAAGACCTCTGAGGACCAGCCTCAGCTGTGACAAGTATCAGCTCTACCGCATGTCACCAAGGCAGCCACGATTCAGCAGAAGGGGAAATGGAAAATACTAACACAGAAAACAGGCGTAGCAATATAAATATCTTCCAAAGTTGAGGTCAAGGTGAAAAGAAACTAAGAGGAAATATTTCTTAGTAATAAAAGAAACATTACAAAGCTGGTTTGGTGGTGCACATCTGTAATCCCAGCTACTCTGGAGGCTAGGGACTGAAAGTTCTAGGCCTAGGCAACTTAGTGAGACTGTGTTCAAAATAAAATAAAAAGGGCTGGGGATGTGGCTTAGTCCTTGCCTAATATGTGAAGCCCTACAATCCCCAGTGTTATGGTGCCTGGAGTAGAGATGGTGCTTGCACGGTTCAGAGATTTGCAGGCAGAGAGCAATTAGCAGTAAAATATTTTATTCACTCTCCAAGAGAGGAGAGAGGCCAGACTCCAAGAGATGTGTGAGTCCTGAGTTCTCAGGGAAAAGGGGTTTTATGGGTTTATAAGGATCGGGAGGGGTCAGTGGGTGCTGTGAGGAGCAGGATGTTCTGCAGACTCTAGGGATGCTTTCAGCAGAACGCTTGCCACAGCTCAGCCAGGATGTGGTTTTTGAGCTCTCTACTTTCTGGGGTCTCAGTGTCCTACTTTCATTTTTGCAGGTGCTGCTTTATCTTGCTGTAATTTTCTATTGACCTAGGACTCAAAGACAAGGCTGTCACAGAAAGAGAATTTAATTTCCTAGCGCCCAGTTCTACAAAGGAAGGAAGGAAGGAAAAAAGGCAGGCAGGCTATAACCAGAAGATAAACTAGTCATGAGCCCTTTTTCATTTAACAACATAGATTCAAAACATATCAAGCAAAGCCTGTTAATGTATAAGGAGAAATTGACTAGGGATTATAGTGGGGCACTTTAACACAACATTCAGAAATAAAAATATTAAGCAGTTACTCAAATAGTCTTGATCCTTGTTTTTTTTTTTAACACAGTAGCTTGATCTAATGGAAATATTTAGTATTATATTTTAAGCAGAGAATGTCTTCACAGTAATAGTCAAACCCCCCCAAAAAAATTATGTCTAGAAGTTTTCAGACAGACTTGTTACTAACTCAAGGTAAAGAGACATCAAAACCAGAACTTAGATTTTCAAATAACCAGTTCTGATATGACATGATATTGTATATGTGTGTGTATATATATATACACACACACACACACACACATATATCACTTCTGAATATATATAAAATATCCAGAAGGACTCCTGCTCCAGATACCAGGAAGGGATGCTGCACAGAAAGGCCAAGAAGAATCTGAACAAACAGACTTTCTGGCGTGTTCTTTCTAAGACATTAGATCAAACTGTTTTTGTCTGACATTATTTTTATATGGCTTTGTATGCTTCAATTATGCCTATGCCTTGAGCTTTCCACAAAACCCAAAGGACAGGGTTCAGAGAACTTCTGAAAAGCAGAACACTTGGGAACTTTCAGGAAGATGAGCAAGAACTCACTGATGAGCCAGGAGAGTGGTGCACTCCACTCCATGGGGACAGAAGCTTCTGCACTCAGGACCCTTCCAGACCTTGCCCTGTGTATCTCTTCATGTGACTGCTTATTGTATCCTTTAAATTAGCCTTTATGGCCAGGCCCAGTGGTGCATGGCTGTAATCCCAGCTACATGGGTGGCTTAGGCAGAAGGATCACAAGTTCCAGGCCAGCCTCAGCAACTTAACAACACCCTGTCTCAAAATAAAATATTAAAAAGGGATGGAGATGTAGCTCAGTGGAAAAGCACCCTGGATTGGGTTCAATCCCCAGTACCAAGTTCATTAATTAATCAATTAAAATTAAAAAATAAAGAGGGTAGGGGGTGTTGCTGAGTGCAGACCACTTACCTAACATGTGTGAGGTCCTGGGTTCAGTCCCCAGTATCACAAAAGAGACAGACTTGTGTCTGAAGTGGAGGTAGTCTTGTGGTACTGAAACCTCATCCTGTGAAATCAGACATCATCTCCCAGTAGATGGGATCAGACTGAATCAGGTGTCCACTGCACGACAGATTGTTTACATGCTGGTGGGAAAAAAATCCCTACACATTTTGGGATCACAAAAGTGATCTGCATTGTGAGAGTAGAGTAGAAGAAACTGAGTTTGGTTTGTTCACCCATATGGTTCATGATCTTGTCCTTTTATTCATATAAAGTTGTTTGTACTTTAACATTGCTGACTCATATGAAAGGGAGGGAAGGTGGAGACAGAGACAGACCAAGGTAGTCTGGGAAATGGATCAGCTGGAGCAAGTAGTTCAGCCTATAAAAGGATTGAAGGATCAGACAGTTATCACCAGCCATGTTCAGTAAAGCCTAGAAACATCTTTGCTGAACATGGTCTCAGCCACCTCTCAGGCACTCCATTGAGGGGACACAGAGCAAGAGCAGAGTAAGCAGGATAGCTCTGATGAGCTCTAGGGTAGATGCTCTTTGTTTCTGATCTCAGGTACAAGTGAGCTTCTTTGTGCAGAGGAGAAAGCTGGCTCCTGGGAGCAGGTAAGGTCCACAAGGGTAGATATCCAGAAGAACTCCAAACTGAACAATACTAGAACATCTGGATTAAAGAAGGGCTGTCCGTTTTCTGACACTGAAGTCAAAAGGAGACCAACACCCAAGCTTAGAGGTTTGCCAATTTAGTACACTAAACATGGTGTTTATCTATACACCACAAACCAGAGGGCACAACTGACAGTGATTATGCAGCAGGAGGTTAGCCTGTGAATAAGATTTATGTAGCTAATTCATATCCTAAAAATTCTACTTAGGGCCTCAATTATTCACATTATTTGACTACATCAACTAAAATACAGGGTGACTATCATTCTTTTTTCTTTTCTTTGTACTATGTAACAGTACATCATTGAACTGAAAGCAGGTTTTTTTTTTCTCCTAATGTAAATTCATTCAGGCCTTCATCTACCCACCCACTCATCCTTCCATTTAACAAACACACACCCAGAGCAAACCCAACACATCATAGATCCTTGGCGTTTCTTTTGTCATTGTTTGCATTGTCTCTGATTACCTGTAGATGAGAAAAATAAAGAAGGTGGTTTGAGTTATTTGAGTACCACACTATAGTCTAGAAAGAAATGCTCAGCTAAAATGTGCTAAATAAATAAAAAGGAGAAGGAGGGGGAAAGGAGGAGAGGGAGTGGAGAGGGAATTGGAGAGTCACAGCCAGGTGAGTGGGAATCCTGCTTCACAACGATCTGGGATTTGACTTTACATCTGAAATGCTGAGAAAAACTGGCCACCGCCAGGCACCTGGGGAAGGCGGAGGGAGTGGCCAAGGTGGGTGTCAGAGCTGGAGCTGGAGGAGTTAAAATTACTTCAACTCTGCAATCTGCATTCTTGGTGTCAGAGGCCTGAGCCATTTTCCATGTCCCCCACCTATCACTTCCCCGTGCTCCACCCTCCTCCGATTTTCCTGAGCATTCTGAGTCCTGAAAACAGAGGAAGGCAGGTAGTAGCATTTGCCTTCCCCCTCCTCCGTACCCCCTCGCCACCGTCCTCTACTCCATACCCCGACACCCAGGCCTAGGTCTCCCGTCCCAGGACCACCGTGACAGAGGCTCTGGCAGGCGCTGTCATCGTTAGCACAGACTTGGCTGCCCACCCCACCTCCATACCGAGATATCGAAAGGCTAGGACACCCAGGACCCTGTGACTTAAGATATGCAAAGAGCTCAAAACGATGGAGGGCACCTGGCCCGTGCCCACTACGACGCAGGCGCTGAGGACAGTGTCCCCCCTCGGGTCTGCCTCCACCTGCGATGCAGGGAGAGGACCACAGCCTCGCGGCGCTTGCTCTCCACCCGGGCTCCTGACGCTTTGCGTCTGCCTCGGTTTGCCTCGCAGAGCCTAGGGCACAGTCGAGCCAGCCTTTTACTATGCAATAGAACATCTGGGGACCGCGGCCAAGCTCTGTCCTCGTGAGGACATAGGGTACTGGCGTTAATCGGGGCATCTTTTCGTTCTATGCGCACCTCAGCTCCAGTGGCTGTGCAGTCATTGCCATTTTCCAGATAAGAAAACTGAGTCTTAAATCCAATATCAACACCACGTGCTGACTCTCGGATTTTCGAACTCTCCCCCTACAGTATCTTTGGAGCCTTCCTAGGAATCAGACGGAAATCTAGGGACAAATGCCAGGAAGAGTCTGGATCCTGCGTCTTAGGCGGGCAGCAGGCTCCCATTTCTGGCGCGGGTGTGCTAGGCGCCCCCAGGACGCTGGGTTGGTCGGGAGGTTCGGGTCCGGGGACTGATCCCTATTCTGCCTAGAAGCAGGGTCGCCCTCTTTCTTCCCCAACCCCGTGCACCGAGACCTAAGGGCAAGCGCATGGGGCGGTGCGCAGGGCAGGCGGGCTCACACCCAAGTCCGCCCGCCGCAGCGCGGGAGGGGGGGGGGGAGGTAGGGGGTTGCTCCGCCCTTTGACCTCGGGGATGTTGACTAACTAGGCGGCCAACCCACGAGCCCGGGAGAGCCGCGTCCCTCCGACGGCCCCACCGGCCAGAGGACACTCGGGGAGGAGGCGATCAGACCCGGTGGCCATGGAGCGCCGCGTAAGAGTGAAGACTTGGGTGGAGGACAACAGGGCCTCCTTCCAACCCCCAGTCTGCAACAAGCTCATGTGAGTCTGAGCTCCTGTATCCGCCCCCTCTGTCCTCGCCATCTCCTCCATCTAACCAGCCCACCCCCGACCGGTACCGCCTTCCAGGTCCAGTTCCTTGACCCAGAAGCCTGCAGAAAGAGTCTGTCATTCTCTTGGCTCCTTCTGGGAGGGTGAGGACCTGCTGTTCCGGGTTCCACCACCTCTATCTGTTCCTCTTTCTGGTAACTGCATAGTCAGGGCTGTGACTTTGACTTCTGCCTATGGCCAGGGTGCTTCTGAGGCAGTAGGGGATGAGATGACAAGATGCTCCTCCTTCCAGAGCTGGCAAAGAGCTCTCCAGCCCCCAGGGATTCTCTCAAGTTCCCCCAAGGACTCCAGTGGGCTTTGGGAAACTTTGAAATTTGGGGAGAATGGTTTTCAGTGCCCCAGAATGAGAATAGAACCTAGGTCTGAGGACAGGTGACACACACAGGCTAACCTACAGGCAAAGGGGGAGGTTAGAGGATCAGCCCCTTTGGAGAGATCTTGATTTATTGTTCTTTCCAGAGCCCCTCTTTGCAGGTGTACACACACACACACACACACACACACACACACACACACGGCCCTCCCAAGGCCACCTCTGCCTGCAGCACCCAACAGGGCTGAACTGGTCACTGCCATCTTTCTCTCACAGATCTCTCAGGCCCTCCCTGTGATCACCTCCCTCCCCTTCCTTCAGTTCCATTGCTGGGCCTCCTGTGACCCCCAGACCAGGCTCACATTCCCCATATTTGCTGTTCTTGCAAGACAACTCCTCTGGCACGGTACTTCAACCCACAGGGCAACAATCACTGATGTTGTGACAGGCCAGAGACCATGCCAAGCATTCTGGCATCATCTCATTTAGTTCACACAGTCCATGAGGTGGGATTTAACAGAACTTTCCTAATGTCATAGAGCTAGTGCTGGACAGAGTCCAGACTCAAGCCCAGACTCCAAAGTGCACATATTCTCTTGGTCAGTGTGCAATACCACCATGGCTAACAGTCAGCATTTCCCCAAACACGACTCTTTTCTGCCACTATTGTCCTCTCAACCCACATCTTTATCGTCTCTGTCCCTTTCCTCCACTTCTCCCTATTCACAGTCTCTCATTCTCAGTCCCCCAGTTTTTCTCCCTCAAAGCATCTCACACCCATCTGCTCAACTACCGCCCAGACATTGCTCTGATTTCTCCCTGGCCACCTCCACCCTGGGCAGTACTGGCTGCCCTGCCTCTAAGGCCTCCCCCAATATCCTCCAGCGCTGCCCTGGTGCTAACCATCATCACAAACACACTCCCTCTCTTTATTCACTCATCAGTTGTTCACTGAGCACCTACTACCTGCCAGGCTGGCCTAGACTCTGGGGATACAGAAGGAAACACATTGACAAAAGTGCCTTCCTTGTAGAGCTGACATTCCGATGGCGGTAGCCAAAGGTCAGAGTGAGGACTGTGCCTTCCCCCTGTTTTAGTTTGCTAGGGCTGGCATTGAGTCTATGCCACACCTCCCCACTAGCTTCTGCGGCTTTCCTGGCATTGCTGGTCTCCCTTGGCTCGTGCTGCATCACCCCAATCTCTGCCTTCATCTTCACAGGCACTTTCCCCATGTGTCTACGTCCATAGTTCCTGTTTGCAAACAACTCTAACCCACCCTACCCAGTATAACCTCATCTTAACTTATAACATCTGCAATGCCCTTATTTCCAAATAGGGTCATATTCTTAGGTCCTGGGAGGTTAGGACTTCAACATATGAATTTAGGGGGGGCAAGTTCAACCTATAACACCCTCAGCAAGGCAAGAAGCTGCTGGAGGGACGTAATCTGCATTCTGATCAATGGGTTGAAACAGTTCTGGAATGGATTTGTTCAAGAACTTTCAGTGTGTACCTAAATTATATCTCAATAAAGTTGATTAAAAAAATACTTTCTGAGGCTCCCCGGCATCCTTAAGCCAACACCAAACGCCTTGCCTTAGCTAGACCCCCTCCTGATCCAGCCTTCTCAAGTCACTCCCCAAGACCACCTACACCCACCAAGACCCCCAGCGCTTCCTTTCTTGGGTCTCTGTACTCAGCTGACTGCTCCCTTCTCTAGGCACCTCAGCGCTTCTCTCCTCTCCTCCAAGCAGCTTTAAGTTCTTTAAGCTCAGAACTACCCCGTGCCAGCCTCCTCCTGCCCAGTAACCTCATCCATCTTTTCATTTGGGGCATGATGGATATATGTTCTTGGTTATTAATACCTGCCTCCCATAAAGGAGCCCCCCCTTCGTGGGCTGGAAAACAATCTGCAGGAGAAGACACTAGTCAAAGACTTCCAGTCTAGTATTGGGGGTTCACCTGCCCCCAACCCCTCCACTGCCATCAAACCTCATCGTGGCTACAGTCAGCCTCTACTGCAGAGATCTGAAGTAGCAAAAATGGTTCCTGCACCTGGATTCCGCACCTCCTCATTCCCAGGGAAAGCCCTTGCCCCAGCCCTCTGTCGCTTGGCTACTTAAGACCCCGGGCCCCTACCCATGCACAGCCCACTGCTTATTTTAATCTCTGCAGAGTAAACCCTAGAATGGAAGATGGGTGTGTTGCTGTCAGGAGGTACAGAGTCCCGTAAAAGGTGACACCACACCAATATTAGATAGGATGAGGAGCTTGGGCATCCTGTCAAGTTCCAAACAGCTGACAGTGTACACCAGGGTCAGGGCACCAGCCTGGGAGTCAGGGAGCCCAGGTCTGAGCTCAGGTTCTGTCATTCCCTGGCTGCATGACCCTCTCTGAGCTTTAGCAAGTTTGAACAGTCAGCTATCAAATGAGTTGGTCACACTAGCTTATTTTATCAAACACTTAAATAGTGCTTATTATATGGCAGGCACTGTGTTCTGAGAACTTCTAAAAATGAATTTGTGTAATCCATTGAAACTTGATGCAAGAGCTAGCTCTCCATTTTACAGATGACAAATCTGAGGCCCAGAGAGGTTAGGTAGCATTGCCCAAGAGTGCATGTAGAGCCATTGGATGCCCAGAGGCTGGCTCCAGCTCCTGTTTTTAAACGCATGTCATTCTGACTCAGTGCTGTCTGAGCTCCTGCTAGATGTCACAGTCTCCTGAGTCAGGCCTCTAGCCATTGGGAAACGGAGGGTCCCACAGTCAGACATGGGGCTCTAGTGTGCTCTCTTGTGATTGGAGATCCTGAGCACTGCCCCGGGAGGCTAGGTGATGAAGCGACAGAGCCACTGCTATGCTGCCCCTCTGTGTGTGTCACAGAGGGACACACTCAATCACAGACACACAGGCACTTAGATGCACATGGACACAGGCTGAGCTGAGAGTGGGAACAAGGATCTGTTCCTTTTCCTAAGTGTTCCAGGCCCCCTTCCCCCTACCACAGCCCCCTCCCTCCCAGGACCTGGTCCACGACCTCCCCCACCACTCCTTTGCAGGCACCAGGAGCAGCTCAAAATCATGTTCGTCGGGGGCCCCAACATCAGGAAGGACTATCACATCGAGGAGGGCGAGGAGGTAGGTTATGACTGCCCCATCCCAGTCCAGGCAAGGAACATCAGCCCCTGGGAGAGCAGGTACTTCCTGACCAGGGCCAGAGCTGTGGACTGAGGAGGGGAGGCATGACTGTTAAGGGACACTCTGAAATCGCAGGGGAAACCTGCCACCTCAAAGTTGCCACCTTGGGCAGCCCCCTCCTTGAGGTGGAGCCAAGGGGGACTCAGCAGGAAGAGCCCTAGAAAATAGCCCAGCCCTGTGGGTAGGACAGGCTCTCACTGTGGGGCATCCGGTCCCTGACACACTAGCTGTCCATGCTCCAGGTGGGATGCCCGGTCCACTGCCCCAAACCTGAGTATATACAGTTGGCCTCTAAAATGAGACCCAAGCACAGGAGGGAACCTAGTTTTCCCTTCCCATCCCTGGAGCCAGGTTCTCCCTCTCCTAGAGCGAGGGGGGGAAATCTAGCTATATGAAGTGGGAGTGGGCTGGGGGTGGGTGGTGGATGGTGGTAGGGAGATGGGGAGGGGACTGAAGGAAGAAGGGCAAGGATGGGGGCTGAGGAATGGGTGGGACTGGGTGGCCCCTCCTTACTTAGAAAGTGCAAGACACATCAGTTAAGAGGTATGTGACCGGGCAGGGGTTGCACTAAATACCCTTTGTACCTTGATTTTTTAACTGTTTCTCTGCTGCCTATCCCAAAGTACATAAACAAAAGTAAAATTAACAGAGAGGGAAAGCCCTCGTAAGGAGAGAGAGACACGGACAGGATCCTAACCACCAGAGACTCCAGTGGGAAAGGATCCGTGTAGAGCCCTCCAGCAATCTGGAGGCAAGCCTGATTCTAGGGTCTGAGATGCAAAGTCTAGCTTGGTCACGGCCCTCCACCCCACTGCTTGTGTCTTCCTACAGTCCAGGACTCCAGTGAGCCCTGGAGCATTGCTCAGTCAGCAAACATTCGGTGAGCACCTAGTGTGTACACAAGGGTGGAGCAGAATCAGCCCATCCCTCACATTTCCAAGGGCCTTGCCCTCTCTGGGCCCACCCTTCTCACAGACACACCTCCCCAGAGACCCTTTTCCTCTTTGGAAAAAATCAACAGGAAAATTCAAACCTACAGAGAGGAGGAGGGGATAGATCAGGAGTGGCCACGGCGGGGGAGGCAAGGCTGGTGTCCTGCCTGCCTGAAGCAGTCTCATGGGTAAGGACAGCAGCTTCCACTCACCTGTTAGCTCTGATACCAGCGCCCACCCCTTGTGTCTACTGGTCTGTCTCCCTCCTTCCCTTTTTATCCTCTGCCACCCATGCCCCAGACCCATCTCATGGTTTCTCCAAGCATCACATGGGTGTCCACTGAGGACCTGGGTCAGCCATGCCCTGACCCAGCTGGCGCTGAGAGATGAGCAGTGCCGGCCTGCACATGTGTCCTTACTCTGGAGGGACATTCAGGTGTCAGGGAGGAGTCTGACTGGAGATGGGTTTGTGATGACATGCCCCCCCACACACACTTTGGTAGAAGGGCAAGGTACAGCATCTGCCACAGGCTGCTGGTGGCCTCGGGACTGAGCATCCGTGTCCTCTCTATCCCTGCCTGTCCTTACCCAGCTAGAGCTGGAAGAATCATTCAGGCCTGGGTTCAAATCACGTCTCTTACTGACTGAGCCAGATTTCCCTCCTTGCTGAGTTCTGACCTCTGCAGTACTCCAAGTGGCCAGGGCTGCCTTCAGCAACCCAAACTCCCCAGTACATCCCCGCACTCCTGCTCCACTTCCCCACTCCTTTCCTTAGGGCAGGCAAGTGCGAGAAGGAAGAAGAACCTCTTATAACTGTGTGATCTTGGACAAGTGCATCGCATGTCCTCTGAGACTTCCCGTGCAGCATGTGGGACAAAGGTGAAAGGATTCACCAGCTTAACAGGCTGGGTCCTCACCTCGCCTGCTCACTGTCCTGCCACCTTGTAAGGCCTTTCCAGGCCATGAAGCCAGGCTCTGTCTAAGTCTCCTGAGCCGGCGGGGCTCACTCTTCCGGCTAACTCCATGCCCCTTCCCTCCCCAACATCATTTTCTTTTTTTTTTTTTAATTTTTTTTTTTTTTTTTTTTT